AAGTAAGAGGCAAAACCCCAGCAAGTGTGTGGTCAAGGGACAAAGCATAGGGAGAGGAGATGATGTCCAGCATCCATGACTGGCTGGCTGCTGATCCTGTTTCTCTAGACAAGGAACCCACAAAGGGAGCCGGGGCAGTCACAGGAGGAGGTGTAGACTCAATTCGGAGGCACCTATGATTAACCCAGTTGGAGCCGTCCGGGAAGGAAGATGGAAGCCAATGATCTTAAGCTCCGGAGAGGAAGACAGCACCATGTTCGTCATCAGAGTGGAACTGGTAATGATGCCATGACGTGATGATGATAATCTTTGGGGAAAGCAGTAAGGAGCCCCGGTGAGTTTCTTTCCGTTTTCACTCCAACCGTGTGCCCATGTGGCAGTTTAATCTTAATTTCTTTTGATGCACAGCAAACATCACCTTTCAAAGCTTTCAAACTGTCACCAAGGAAGGGTACCTTCCAAGTAAATCACCCTCTGTTTTGATGATGCCTATTATAAGACCATTCACTGCATTTCCTGAGCTGGTGTGGTTTCACTCAGTTGTACGCAACCACAAAGCTTCTCCAGAGGACTGATACAATTAGCCCCTGATGGTATCAGCCAGAGGAGCGAGTTGTAACCCATTTCACAGAAGAACATTGGCTTAGGCATGTGAGGCATATCCAACTTCTCGAAGCTAGAAAGCCTTTCAAGAGCTTTCCAACGATGGTCTTCGGGGAGGGTACCAGACTGCCTCTTTTCCTATGTCTAACTGCCTTCCAAAAGCAGCGCCTACGATTCAGGAAGCCATTTGGAAAATCTGCAGTTCTCAAGAACACCTCATGGTAAACAACACAAGCAATGTTGTCAAAGGTCCTTTTAGAACCAGCTCTTCGCTTTCCCCACCACAGATGACTACTCGTAAGGAAATGTTCCATGTACCGCTAAAGACCTCCACAATAGCAACGCCTTTGCTATTTCACTAAAATCGGATGTTCTGTAATTTCTTTAATTTTGTCGCTAGTTATTCCTCCACCTTGAAACCTCTAATGAAGGCTCAAGGCACTGATGGCAACAACTGTCCATTTCCCTTCCCTGACTGACAGCCTATGCACCTGCCTCCTGCATCACAGAGCCCGCGCCCCACCCCCACTGGAAGAGGCCACACAGAGAAAGTCTCATCAGGTTTCAATGAAGCACCATGTGCAAAAGCCTCGTTTGCTCTTAATATTGCTTTGGAAATCTGTGCTTTGTTTTCCTCCCTTAGCTGAGAATGAGGGGGAAAAAAAAAAAAAAACATTTCCCAATCCATTCTGTTATACCTTCCCGCTCTCCAAACCTCCCATCGCCAGCACCAGGATTAGACGGACACCCGGGAGAAGACACTTCCCGTCCCTGTGCCTGAATGTGCCTTTTAACACAATTCAAGATCGACACACCTTCTCTTAAGTAAAACTGGGACGAAGCAAGAGTGAAAACAAACAAACAAAAGTTGCAAAAAAAAAAAAAAAGCTTTGATGCAGGTGGTAGTGGCTGTCTTCACAGCTAATAAATTTCTTGATGCACCCACTGGTTCCCTTATCGGCTGGCTAGACTTCTCTGAGTTCTTCTGTTTGGTTTCTGTCTGATCTCCTCCCAGGGCTGCACCTGCCAGCAAGGGCATCAGGAGCTGCACGAGAAGTGATGCCACCCTGCAAATCTCTTCTGGATCATCCAAGGCCAAGCTTGCCCTTGCTGGGGCAGGTGGGGGAGGGAGGGGGGGAGCAGGGCCCGGGGTCACCACCGCAGGCTGCTGTCATCAGATTCAAATCCCGAATCTGCTACTGGCACTGAGGATGCTTTCATGTGTGTCCACCGCAGCTTAACTTGATCCCTTTTCGCCAGGGGATCGCTCTCCTGCCACCCGAATGGACAACCTGCAAGCCCTAACAGCTGAAAAAAACAGCATTCAAGATGAACTGCCAAAGGCAGCAGGCGTGGCCTTGGGATGGGAGGATGAAGCGTCTGGGATCCCAGGGCACCGCTCCGCCATCAGATCCACCTCCTGTCCTGGCGCCCAGGCCCCTCTCCCTGGAGCTGACACGACTGCTGGGCCGTATGCAGCAGGAGTCGCCGCCACTAACGGGGCAATCAGAGTCACTGGTCGAGGAGAAAGAGACATTGAAAGGTTTCCAGAACAGCCTCTGACTGAGGGGACTTTACACCTTTGGACAAAACAGGGTTTTTCAGGGTTCAGAGAATATGTCAGACTTCACATCCCGAAAAGGCTAAGAGCAACTGAAGGATGAAGGCAACCACCATGGTTGGGTGCTGCTTAAATCAACAAGCAAATATTTCCTGGGCGCCTACAACGTGCTCAGATCTAGACCCAACGCTGCAGGTGAGGAGGCCCAGAGGACGAGCAAGTAGACGCACACTGCTGTCCACAAACCTCAGTGTGCAGAAGAGTTATCTGCGGTGAGTCTCTCGGGCTGCACATCCCCAGAAATTCTGACTCATTGAGCCTCGTGTTGCTGAATCTGCAACTTTAGGACACATGCCCAGGTGGCTCTGCTGCAGGAGATACTGGGGCTAGACCACCTTTGAGAAACACGGGGCTATGATCTGATTCCCGCCCTCAGGCAGTCTGCAACCGAGACGGGGTGGTAGCAAACACCCACAAGGCACTACATATCCATAGATTTTTTTTTTTTTAATGATGCACCTTCTTCTTTGTTTAAAGAATTTATTTATTGTCAGAGAGAGAGCGCACAAGCAGGGGGAGCAGCAGGAAGAGATGCTTCTGCAAGGAGCCAGATGCAGGGCTCGATCCCAGGACCCCAGGATCAGGACCTGAGCTGAAGGCAGACGCTTAACCGACTGAGCCGCCTGGGCATCCCCATAGGATGCACGTTCTAAATGTTACAGGAGTGCACAGAGGCCTGAGCATTCCAGGAAGATTTGTGGATGAGCCGGCTCAGTGGGCAGGCAGGAGCTGCATAGAAAGAGACAGCCCCCGTGCAACCATCTTTTTTTTTTTTAAGATTTTATTGATTTATTTGACAGAGAGAGACACAGCAAGAGAGGGAACACAAGCAGGGGGAGTGGGAGAGGGAGAAGCAGGCCTCCCACCGAGCAGGGAGCCCGACACGGGGCTCGATCCCAGGACCCTGGGATCATGACCCGAGCCGAAGGCAGACGCCCAACGACTGAGCCACCCAGGCGCCCGGCCCCGTGCAACCATCTTAACCAAACCTCCTGACTCAGTGTAACAAGGGGGCCATGGCAGACAGCATTACTGAAGATCAAGACCGGAGTTGGAAGACTGTCACCAAGCAGGTAAACAGGCTTTGTATGTTGAGGGCAGGGAGGGGACCGTCACCAGGAGAACCATAACACTGGCATTTCCAGATAACACCATGTTCGCCTTTTCATTCCGCCACATTCATGTGGTTTCCTGCACTTCATAATTTAACACTTGCAAGAGAAAAAAAAAAAAAAAAGAATGCTGTCATGAAACCCAAATAAGGCACCACTTGGAGGCAGAGAGCCAGCAGCTAACAAGAGTGACATCTGAGCATCATTTAAAGTGTCATTCATAGCTCTGCTTTGGAAAAGGGATGTTTAGTAAGAAAGAAAAGTAATAAATTCTGTTCTATGTAAAACAAAGTTTGGAGCTCCACAGGGTTTAGGGACCGGCAGATAACCTGTAAGACGGTGACAGCAAACAGAGGAGGAAGAGGGAGACCCCAACACAGAACTAAAGGGCAGGGGCGCCTGGGTGGCTCAGTCGCTTAAGCGTCTGCCTTCGGCTCGGGTCATGATCCCAGGGTCCTGGGATCGAGCCCCGCATCGGGCTCCCTGATGAGCAGGAAGCCTGCTTCTCCCTCTCCCACTCCCCCTACTTGTGTTCCTTCTCTCGCTGTCTCTCTCTCTCTGTCAAATAAATAAAATCTTTAAAAAAAAAAAAGAAAGAAAACTGAAGGACAATATTCTATTCTATTCTATTCATGTAACAATGTGCTACGTTGTCTTTAATGCTGCAAGGGAATACATCACTAACCACAGACACCACAAGGCCTGTTTGACCAGAGGCCTGGCCCAGAAGATTGTAGAGAGAAGTATGGAGAAAGGACCCCAAAGTCCCTGGCCCCTTTTCTCCACAACGGCCTGTCCAACGAGCCTCCCTGCCAAAGGTGACCTGCCAAGGACTCACAATCGATTCGGCTAAGAATCAAAGGGGATCATTGTTTAATTAATTTCAGCAGAGTGAACTATCAAATTTTTAGATTTGCAACAGACCTTGGAGATCATCGAGGCACACACTGGAGTTTTCTAGAAGTGACCCATTCCCCGAGGATGAGTAAGTTGGCCGAGGTCACCAAGTGAGGTGGGGAGAACTGGCTTCCGTTTGAGGACTGTTTCTAAGAACTACGGTCAACTAGGCTGAGCAAACTTCTTTGGAAATCCACAATATTTTGGTATCGTTTATCGTTTCTTTTAGTTTGGGGCCTTGAATTCCACCCCCAGACCAAGGCTGTATTCATACGGGGCACCATATGTACTTAAAAGATGCTCAATAAATATATGTTGAGTAAGACTTGGAAAACCCCTGTGCCTCTCACCCCCCCCACCCTGATACTCCACTACAGAGTAAGAAATCTGCCATCAGATCAAATCGACTGTCTCGTGTGTGAGTAATCCCTTATGCTCTCAGCTAAAAGCAATGTCTGGAAGACCTAGTCTGTTGGTCATTTGTGTGTTCAGTTGTTCAGATTTTTTTTTTCCCCTCCTTTTTGGTCTTTTTTAACCACAAATGTACTCAGATCCCACTGCTCTGCAAATTTCAGGAACAAACACACTAAGTACATTTCGTTGTTCTCTTGGCTCTCCATCACTAAAACAACATTTTCTCAAACAACCTGGTTGCTTGGGCTGTAGAGAAACAGCCAGGCACTTGAATAAGCTGTCCTGAGACACCAAATAAACGATGATTGATGAAATCTAGAGCTAATGAATGCCAAGTCCTTTGGATGACTTACCCACAGCCGTTTGTGTTTGAAGACCATCCGCGCAGGCTGAAGTCTACTCCTTCTTGCTCATGGTCTGTAGCAGCATAACTTTTGAGGCCTCAGAATAAATTCTTTCATTTTGCTCCAGTATGCTACAGAAAAGAAAACAAAACAAGTCAGAATGAAAAATGCCACTTCAAGCAGTTAGTTGGTATTCAGGGGGAAATCCCTGGCTTCTCTCAGATGTATATTTTATAACCTCAAACAATCATGTTAATTATCAGAACGAAGCAATCACACAACTCATCTACCTATGGAGCCCTGAAATACCAGAGTGGGGGAAGAAGAAAGAAAACAGAGCACCTGCTGGGGTAGGTAGTACATCTTGAAAATTATGATATATACCACTGGGAACATGCCCGCAAAATTTCAAGCTTACTAACTGAAATAAGTACACAGAGAAGGATTCACGATGTTTAATAATTCAAGATAACTGATGTTTAGTCATCAAGGGTAGGAAGTGGAGAAAGTTTTGTTTCGAATTAAAATTCATCTGATTCTGCCCATTAAAGACTCAGACTCACTGAGCTACTATTAATATCTTTAAATGCTGTTAGGATTGAACCAAAAAAAGATGCAGCGTTAGAAAGAGGAAATTTTCTATTTTGCACCACAAATAGGTAATTGATGGGTGTTCACTCTGACTCAATACATCTCGATAAAGAACTGCCCCAGCCAAATTGGAAGGCAGCATTTACTTTACACGCTCGATATGAAATGAATGGTTAAAATATGCATGCCTCTTTACCCTACTCAGAGCACCTGACAAAAGCCTACACATTAGAATTGTGTGTGGCTCTGAAAAGTTCTCTTCTGCCTTGTGAGCTTATACTGTTCACTTGTCACCGGGTGCTGTTCTAGCTCCTCCCGATGCTCAGACAAGTCCACCCCACTGTTTTCTGACAATGGCCATCTGAGCCTGGAAATGGTCTTCAAAAGATGTCTGCAGCCTCTGCTAGCCTCTTGCTAGCTCTTCCTCATCTGTTTTTGAAAGCACACTGCAAGACTGCCATCCAGCTCTCTCACTACGATGACTGCATCCCACCTGGGACGCCAAACTCTACGCATTTCCAAAGGTCCTGAGGCCACCGCCAGGTAATCACCCAATGACCCAGTTGTAAGAGAGAGGATATACCTTCATGCCTCACTAGGTGACTGCGTGAATAATCAATTCCTTGAAAGCCTTCTGAAGCTATTACTTTACAGAAGACTCAACGGGTTTGAGAAGAACTTTTGGGGGGTTGTGTCTATCTGTGGTTAAATGCGTGTAGGCATTCAGAACTTCTGAGGAGGAAGAGAAAGCTGCTCTTGGGTAATGTTTAAACAAGTGAGTTGAGTTGAAGCCCATTATATTTTCAGTCTAGTTGGAAGAGCGACTGCCTGAAAATGGCAAAGTCTTTTTTATTTTCTTGATGCTATCAATACCCACCGAAAGTGGGGTTGTCACGATTTTATTAGTTTTCAGAGCGGCTTTCATGAAATGTAACTCCGCTCCCACTCAAATGTGTAACAGTAACATATTGCTACAAATCAACATAAGCCAGGAAGTTCAAAGCATGACAAACTGTCTTTATCTTACCGTTTGGGTAAAAACAGAATTTTAAAGGGAGGAGGAAGATTTAAGTGAGCCCACTGCGCGTTACTGGCTGAAATTAATCTTCTCCTACTAAAAATAAACTGCTGCCTTTCTTTCATTTGTTACCAGCGTTCTGTCTTGGTATTTTAACTGGGAGGGTCTCTGTCATCTGGTTCACAATTCTTCTGCAAAGAAGCTGCCGGCCCAGGGTGGCTGATGGCACACAAGTTAATCTGGGCCTCAAGCAAACTCAGGGTTTAATCACTCGTGCCCACTGACTCACTGAATGGTGTTGGTTCGAAAAGTTTACCCGAAGCTCAGTACCTTCTCGCAGTACTCTTTCTTTTCCTGTGCTGCTTTTGCCTAAAGAAAGACATCCATTTCTGGACTAGATTTTGTCACCACGTGGAGCAAAATTATCTGGGAGAGGCAGAATGGCTCCCTCATTAGCTCAGGGCCCTTCCCTGGCTGCCAAAGCCAGGTGTCCAGAGGGGCAAGTCACACTATTTGGAGAGAAGGGAAAAAAAAAAAAAAAAAAGGAAAAACAGGGGAAACGAGGCCTGATCTAAGTGACAAGACTTTCCATTCTTACCTCTGTAGATGTGAAGGAGTTGGAAGTGATTCATTTTGTGATTTAGAGCCGACCCTCAATTACACATAGTGCACCACGTGGGAGACGATTTTTGTCAAAAGAAAAACCACTGAACATTCTATACCCCTCCTTTTAAGCAATAATTTCAATATGCTTTCCTCTTTCAGCCAACTTTTCAGCAGTGCTGCTAATAACCAACAAAACAAACTGGCTTGAGTTTAATCTCCTTCGCCTACCCATTCTTGTTTGCCAGTTGAAGCTATAAATAGAGATAAGACCAAAAGTCTAGAAAGAAGAAAAGAACACCAGGGGACTAGAGCATTCACAGATCTGCCTGAACACTGAAAGTTCTCTTTATAAACAAGGATTCCAGTCCAGATGATATCCTTACAGGGTCTGAAATTCAATAAGCGTTTTTGTGATAATTTTCTGAAACACTTATAAATAGGCAGCAGCAGCGGACTAGCTCAACATGTGTCAGAAGCAGTGGCTCAAAACCCATGAGGTTTGTTTTTTTGTTGTTGTTGTTCTTTCTTTTCACCTCAGTTTTGCCACTAACTGGATTTTTCAACTTAAGCACCGTCTCCTAAGTAGAATTAGTTCCTTATCTATTAAATAAAGGGATATAAGTAAAAGTTCTCCATAATTAATCCCCGATTAAAATTCAAGCGGCTTTTATATGTGTTGGAGTATACCGTATCAAATGAGATCTCTAAAAACACAATTGTATCTTATATGACCTGTTAGCTACATCGCCATTCTAAAATTCAACAATTAGACGCAGCGTAAGAAAGAAAAAAGAGGGGCGCCTGGGTGGCTCAGTTGTTGGGCGTCTGCCTTCGGCTCAGGTCATGATCCCGGGTTCCTGGGATCGAGCCCCTCATCGGGCTCCCCGCTCTGCGGGAAGCCTGCTTCTCCCTCTCCCACTCCCCCCCCCACTTGTGTGCCCTCTCTCACTATGTCTCTCTCTGTCAAATAAATAAATAAAATCTTAAAAAAAGAAAAAAGAAACTAACAGGTTCATTGTGAAATACCACTTCAGTGGGGAATGGGTGTTCTAGTTAATAAACAGGGCTGGGAAAACTAGCTCTTTATTTGGAAAGAGTCAGATCCCCATCTTACACAATCCAGAAAATAAATTCTAGTCAATTAAAAAAACATACAAATGTGTGTTTCCACAGATGTACATATATAGGGTATTTATTATACATATATACATCATTTTATACAATTAAACACAGAAAAATAACTTTATAATCATGAGAGGCCCTGTAGGCCATTGCAGAGACTCTGACTTTTTACTTCAAGTGACACAGGAAGACACCCGAGAATTATGAATGGAGTGGTATAAAGATCTGCCTTATGTTTGAAGGGATCATGCTGTCTGTTGGGAAGAAGAGACCAAAAGGGGGATAAGGCTAAAAACAGGGAGCCCAGTTAGGTGACTGCAAAAATTCAGGTGAGACACCCAATACATGGACTAATAAGGTGGTGATACTGGGGGAGGAGGTAGGGAGAACTGGTGAGGTTCTGGGTATATTTTGAAGGTCAAGTTGACAAGTGGTATAAGAGAAAGAAAAGAGTTAAGGAGGATCCATTCAAGTTTTTGACCAGATCATCTCTAAGAACGGTGTTGCCATTCACCAAAACGGTGAATGAGATCATGGTTCGAGAAGCAGGTGTTGGGAGCTCCATTTTTGCACGTTAGGTCTAAGCTGCCTAACAGACATCCTGGGGAGATACCACACAGACAGTAGGATATGGGAGATACCAAGTAGCCAGTAGGATGCGAAAGTCTGAAATTCACAGACATGTGGACAGAAAACACAAGTTAAAGCACAAGTAACTGTCACAGGTGGGTCCCAAGATCACAACTCTTGGTGTGATTCATGCCTGTGTACAGTCCTCTCCCCTTGAGAATAGACTAGATTGAGCCATTCTTGTCTAACAAATGGAGGGCAGCAAAGGCAATGGGATGTCATTTCCAAGATTAGCTGACAAGACTGGCTTCCATCTTGGATGCTCTAGAACATTCTCTCCAGGGTTACTCACAATGGGGGGCGGGGATTGGCTGCCCGGCTGTGAAGCCATCCTGTGGAGGGGCCCCACATGGCCTGCTAGCATCTATGTGAGTGAGCCTGGAAGCAGATCCCAACTCCCCCTACTCCACCTTCAGATGAAACTGCAGCCTGGGCTAATGCATGGCTTGACTGCAATGTTACAGAGGGCCTGAGCCTGAGACACTGATCAAAAGTGTGCCCTGGTTCCTACTTACAGAAACTGTGAGATAATAATTATTTGTTGTTTTAAGCCACCAACTTCTAGGGTAATTTGTTACACAGCAATAGATAACTAATACACTTATGATGTGCAAAGCACTATTCGAGGAATTTTATACGACTTTTTACAGTTGGGAGAAACTGAGTCACAAAGAAGTTGCATCACTTGCCCAACACCACACATATGTGATGGAGGTGGGAATCCAACTCAGGCCATCTGACTCCAGAGCTGAGGCTTCTCTGTGACTGCAAGACAAGACCCCTCGGAGATAACCTTTTCTACCTCAGATGTACATACCTGAAACATGACTTCTCCACTGCAGTAAGTGCTAATATCATAGATTTTATAAAAACAAGGGCCAGTGTGATCTTCGCCAAACTTCTTGTCACATAGCTCTCCAATCCTACTTTCAATATCCCAAATATATTAGAGTATACACTCAACTGTTGAAGATGGAAAGGTGGCCTCTTGCTATCTGAAGAGTAACCTCCCTCTGGTCCTTTAATTTCCATCTGGTTCATCTGTTTGATTTAACTGTGAGAGAATTTCCAGAATAGTTTGCAAATGCTTTAATATAAATTCCTATGGACTGAATGTCCTTTTGCACCTTTAAAGAGCTCCCCCTAAAACTACTCAGTGGTGAA